AGATACATGTATAAGAAAAGTTATTCCAGCATTATTTATAATGGCACAAAATCTGGATAAATCGACATTATCTATCAATAAAGGAATGGCTTAAAAATTATGGTATATTAATACTATATAGTATTGTGCAGCTAGTTAAAAGATGGAGCTGGATAACAGTATTTATAATAAACTGTTGATTAAGAAAAAGAAAGTTGCAGAAAATAGATATGGTGTGATTTGTTATTTGTAAAATTAAATTTGGAATCTTTATTTATATGTGTTTCTATAACCATTGGGAAAAGTATGGAGAGAAACATCAATTTTTTTAACATGAGTTTATCTAGGATTGGGATGGGGAGCAGAAAACTAGTTTTCTTCATGTACTTTTGAATATACTTTATATTACTTCTGTGTTGAATAGGTAAAATGAATGCTTATTACCTTTTTAAAAAGTGAACAGAAAGTGAAATGAGGAAGCAGCCTTAAAATGTAAACTATTTTTAGATTTGGCAAGAAGAAAGATAAATTAATCTGCAGTAAAGAAGAGATTGAAAATATTGCAAACAGCATAACCCATGGAGCAGGCCCTGAGGGGATGAAAGAGATGTGTTTCGAGCAGAGTCCCAAATGTACCAGGGCTGTGATAGCCTCACTGTTCCACAGGGAAATGCAAATGGAGTAGTTCATAAAATTTAGTTTTTGCTATTGCAAATGCATTTCTTTTAGGAAATCATTGTAATAAGAGGAGGGAGGACTTCTCTTATTAAAATATACACCATTATCTGTCAAAGTTAACACTCTAGCAGCCCTGTCAGTTCCCAAACTGTTAGAAATGTTAATGGTCCATAAATCCCAAAGTCTGGAAGAAACAGATTTATAGCACAAGAAAAAGCCAAGCATTAGTGAGAGTAGAGTTAGTTCTTCCTTGTGATGGAGGAAAACAAGTATGTGTGAGTACAGACAGTTAATAGACAGACTTTGCAGGAATAGGGAAAGAAGTTGAGGAAGTTATTTCCTATAAAAGGCTGTGTGCTAAGATCTTTTGCAGGAGTCAGGGTTGAAGGGCTCAGCAGGAGTGATTGTGAGGTTGAGACTTCAGGGGAGTGGTAAAAATGTGGAAGAGGTGCTGTGGGGAATGGGAGACCAACCTGAGAAAATTGGGATTTTCAAATGTGAAATAATACCTAAGTATGCAGTTGACTCTTGAACAACTCGGCAGGTTAGAAGCACCACCCTCACCCCACCCTTACCCCTGGACATAGAAAACCTGTGTATAAGTTTTGACTCCCCCCAAAACTTAACTGCTAATAGCTTACTGTTGACCAGAAGCTTTAGTGATAACATGAATAGTCAATTAACACATATTTTGTATGTTATATGTATTATATACTGCCTTCTTACAATAAAGTAAGCTAGAGAAAAGAAAATATTAGGAAAATACATTTATAGTACTGTATATATATGTTGGATAAAAATCTGTGTATAAATGGACCCGTGTAGCTCAAACCTGTGTTGTTCAAGGGTCAACGGTATTTTGTTCAGATTTGCTTTTATGAAATTGTCTTTGGTCCTTTTTATAGTCTCTTCCCCATTTGACATCCCCTACCCCACTCAGCACTTTGTTTTTATTCCTTTGACAACATTTATATCATCCTTAGTTTGTTTTTGTTCTTGTCGTATCTGTACCCACTAAACTGTTTTTGAAACAATGTTCATTGATCTATAATCACCTCACAGCACCTCCCAGATATTAGGCACCCAACTGATTATTGCTGAAATAAATTTAACTCCACATAGAAAACAACAGGATAATAATAGCATCCTGATTAAAATTCTTCATACTTGTAAAAACAGAAACCATTGGCTTTTTTAAATTCCTATAAATTAACTTTTTCTAATAGCATGCATTTTCATTCCTTACTAAGGTATTGTATATTTGGTTATGTTTTGCTTATAAGAGTTTTAAATTACACACCCTTTGAATTCATACACTTCTGCTATAAAAATGCTACAAAGATCATTAAAACAAAAACTTCCATTGTAATAGATATAGAAACTGAGGACCAGAAAAATTGGTGATTTGTTCAAAACTGCAAAGGTCTTAAATGAAATGACAGAGCCCATATTACAACCATGTTTCCCACTTAATCCTATGTCTTTATACAGTGACTTCCCTCTTAATTTGAATTTTACTTTTTATTCACCATAATGGTAAATTAGTAATAGCAGTTATCTCTGATAAACCTCTGTCAAAATCAAAATACACTGATTACCCTTCATTTTTAAAGATGCCACTATAGGTTTCTGCTGTTCTGTGACAAGTTTGATATTATAAGTGTCGGTTAGAGTACAACACACCAACTGGGCAGTCAGTTGAATGTTGTTTTATGATGCATATCATTTGTGTTTTTTAATGGTTATAATAAAATCTAAAATGGTGATGGCGATGATTGGTATATCAATCTTTACTCCTGCATTTTATGGTTCATATTTTATTTACTTAAAACTCTGTATCTCCTTATTATAAATAAAAGATATTAAAACCACAGTGAGAATAATAAATCTTCATCATGCAAACATGATTAGAAGGATGCTGCATGTACAGAAATATACATGGTCTTTTCCCTGGGGAGGCAAGAGATGGCCTATTACAAACCACCACCCCCTTTTATTTGCACATGAAAGTGGAAACTATTAGCACATTACCACTGAGTATTTTTCTTTTAAACATGCTCACATAATACTTAGGAGGCCAACTGTAAAAAGTGAAACATTTATAATTTGCCAGTGAATAAATATATAAAAAGATTTGTATTGTTCAGTTTTGCTGAAATGGTATACTGCTATTGTCAATTTCAAAATTATAGTTTCTATTTGGCAAATGCTATCATTTGACCTTTAATTAAATTTTAAGAGAAACATTACCCCCTTCCCCCAACAAATATATTTTTATATCAAATACACACAGAAGAATGTTGGAACAGAAGTCTCTGGAGTTACCCTCCTAAAGGCCTGATTCCCTAGGGTGAAGGCATACATGTATCCATAACAAAGCTACACCTTACTGTGCTGGATAGCTCATGACTATCTCTTTTCAATCTGGTTCTATCATGTAATTCTTTGAACAAAGTTTTCAGAGATTGTATTAAACATCTTTGAAATTATTACTTACAATGTACTGCTTGCTCTCATAGTGACAGGGAAAGGCCATTTGTAAGAATTTCTTTCTGCTATCAGAAGAAAGCATTTTAACTCCTCTTGATCATTGTTCCTTCAAATATTCCAAACTCACTAAAGCCCATCTACATGCCCAAACTTCCTATCAAAAAGTACACATTGCAAAACCCCAAAGACTTTGAACTAGGGAGAAACAAGACTGCCATTCATATATTCTTCCAGCAATTATTTTATTTTATTATTTTTGTCCTCACCCGAGGACATTTTTTTCCATTTTTTGTTCAGACAGAGTGGGAGGGAGGGGGAGAGAGAGAGAGAGAGAGAGAGAGAGAGAGAGAGAGAGAGAGAAACATCGACGTGAAAGGGACACATCGACGTGAAAGGGACACATCGAGTGGCTGCCACCCACAAGACCCAACCAGGGCCGGGGACAAACGGCAACCGAGGTACGTGCCCTTAGCGGGAACCGAACCGGGTCTCTCTGGACCGCAGGCCGAGCTCTAACCGCTGAGCCAAACCGGCCAGGGCCTTCCAGCAATTATTTACCAAGTCCTTATAGAGTGACAGGCACTGTGCCAGGTGCTGTGGTTACCAGTGACCAGACACTGTCCCGGTGCTCCCAGCGTGAGGCAGACACTGAGCAGACCCAGGCCCTGCGTAGGGTGAAGGTGCCAGAGAAGCCACCTCCCAGTGCAGGGAGTAGGGGACAGAGCAACCAGCCCAGTCCGGGCAAGGGCGGCACGGAGGTGGCCAGGCGGCAGGGCCTGGAGAGAGTGGGCGGAAAGTCACCCTGGGCAGGGCTCCGCCAGGCTCGGAGAGCCGCACGGACAGTCGGGGGCAGGCGGCACGAGCAGCGAGGCGGTGACCGAGCCAGGGTGGGCCTCGCCGGCGGCGGCCCAGGTCGCCCTGCGGCCGGGGCTGAGAGGACACCCCGTGGAAGGCGTGCACACCGAGGGCAGGAAGAGCAGTCAGGAGCCTGCAGGAACTGTCCAGAAGAGGATGTGAGGTTGAAGAGTCGGTGGCTGTAAAAGTCTGTCCAGGTACTTCTGAGGTCAGACAAAAGATGTGACAGCCCGAGGGGGCGGCAGGAGGCAAGGGCACACACGTTCCATGTTTAATGAATAATCGTAAGTCACTATCTAACCTCCACTCGGGAATGTTTTAAATGCCCTCCAGCTGGGAGAACGAGCTCGGCTTACAAGTTACGGGCACTTCAGAATGTATTTCAGGTGGGCAATGCCGGGTAGAAACTCAATCCACCGCCACACAACATGTTAACACTCTTTTAATGTCAGATTACCATAAAAATAGGACAGCAAACGCCGCGCACGCCCCTTCACACGCAGGCCCCCTAAAGCCGTCTTCATTGTCTTCCGCCACTCATCGGAACCGCCGCGGAAGCCGAGCCTACTCCAGGGCTCCACGCCAGGCGCATGCGCACGGCCCGCAGCTTCGGGAGGAGGATCGGACCCGGAGAATGTTTCCCAGAAGTCCTCGCCTTTCGCAGCGTTTCTCCCTCCCGCTCACAGGCCGCGTGACGTGACTCCGCCCGCCACGTTCCTCGCCGCACACGGCGGTTTGCTAGCGCCGCCCTGCGGTGCCATGTAGCGCTGCAGCGGTGCAAGTGGAGTCAAAGCAAGGGAGTAGGGAGAGCGCGGCGGGTGCAGCCGCTGCCGTCGTCACCGTAGCGTGTCGACTAGTGGCGGCGCGGCTGAGCGGAACGGAGGGAGGGAGGGGGAGAGGAGACCCGAGGGGAGGGAGGAGGCCAGACAAGGCGGGGGAGGGGGAGCAGCGGTGGCGCAAGCCGCGCGGAGCCGCGCAGCTCGAGTCCGCTCCCTTCACTGCCGCCGCCTCCCGACCCGGCCGGCAGAACCGGCGTCCCGGCGGCCCCCGGAACATCTCAAAGCGGACGAAGGAGTCCATGTTGGGGAACTTGGCGGCGGCGTGACGGGGACCTCGGGACCTGCAGTGGGGCCGCCGCCGCCGCCGCCGGAGCCAGCGCCTCGACCTCGGCCTGAGGTAAACACGGGCCGACCTCTGGGTGGATGGGCTGGCGCAGCTGTCGGCGCGGGCCGGGGGTTACAGGCTGGCGGCGCGAGGGCGGACAAAGTTTGGGAATCTCGCGGGGCCCAGGCGGCGTCCTGCGCTTGGAGGAAAGTTGGAGCTGCCTCTCCAGGCAGGGGAAGCCGCGGCGGGAAGGGTTCCCCTTCGCTCTCGCTGCCCCGCGGGGAGGCCCGGCTCCGGCCGCCGCCGCCTCCCTGTCGGCACCCCGTCCCATTTCCTCCTTGTGGCCTACCCGCCTCCCGCCGCCGCCGCGGAGCCTGTGGCCGCCCGGGTGCGGGATGGGGTGGGGGCGTTCAGGAAGGAGGCTCCACGACCCGGTCCCCACTCAGACAGCCCCTCCCCGCAGTGGAAACGTGTCCTGCTGGGCTTCCGGGAGCTCCCGACCCCCCGTGTCCGCTCTACTTTGGGCGACTTTGCTTTTGTCAATTGCGTCCGAGCCCGCCTGTGAAACCAAACTTTACTGCGCCGTGACCTCCGGGTGCACGAATGGGGAGAGAGCCGGCGCTTCCTCCTCCACCTCCGCGTCGGCCGTGCCCTGCATTTCAAACTGGTCCCCGACCCCCGAGTTTAAACCCCGGGCGGACAACAAAAGGGCCCGGAGATCTAAATTTAGCTTAATCAGTCGCCCCTCCTCGGATTAGGGATTTTGAACCATTAGAGGCATTCAGATTGCTGGCGGGCTTGCCACCTACACATTTTGAAAACTTGTTTTAAAAGTAAACGCCCGAGTTCGAGGAGTCGATTAAAACATTCACAGATTCAAGTGTATAATTTTCAAACACGCCCAATATATTTCTGGACCGAATTACGTACAGTGTCTACGAGTTGAGCGTGTTTCCTTCATTTTGGATTACATTTTAACTAACATCTTTATCACGCTGAGATATTTAAGCAAGAATGATTTTTTAAAAACGTTTTTACTATAATGCGTTGTAGATGCTGATCTTAAAATTTCCCAGTTTGGGACTTTTCACTGAATTTTGGTACAAGCATGTTAAAATATATATTTTTCTTTTTAAAAGAAAAGTTAGTTAATGCAAATGACTCCTTAACTTGGCAGCAGAATACTAAGGGCAAAATATTCTTAAATAACAGGTGGCTTTTGTATTTTACTGATAATAGTATTAAATTTTTTTATATGTAATGAAGTTTCTTTCCAGACCATTGCTTTCTCTTTTCTCTCTTTTTGGCAGTTGACTTCATCATCTCACTTTTTTGTTATTGTTTAAGAGCTGCAGTAAAATATTTGTGGGGCTTTTGTTTTTGTTTTAACTTATTGGGCAGAAGAAAGGAAATTTTGAAATTGTCTTCGGATTTTTTTGTTTTATACTGCTATACCAAAGATAATCTGAATTTATATTGTGTTTATGCACTATGAGTATTTTTTTAATTAGCAATTCTTGTTGCATTTTTCACTACATTTTTTCGGTGCTTTCAAGTATATTAATCACTTTGTCAATGGGGGACGAAAATAAAAAATTATTTCTAAATATGCTAACTGGAACGTGTTGGGGAAAATTTTTAAGGGGAATTTTTTTTTTTGGTATGTCTTTTGGTGGTGGTAATGAGGTCCATGGGTTAAGACTGAATGAAACTCTTCAGGGGTCACTCACTTCCCCATCATTCTTTGGCCACTAACCAGTGCTTAGGCAATTTTCTTGAAAAGCAGTGCTGGTAATTAGCAGAGATGGTATGAATCTGTGCTGTTATATGATATTGATTCATCATCAGTAGCATCTTTCAGTAGTAAATAAGAGTGTTCAATATTATACTACTATATTGATTCATCATCAGTAGCATCTTTCAGTAAGTAGTAAATAAGAGTGTTCAGTATTATACTACTGATCAGTTTAATACTGAACTTTATAGACACATCAAAGAGAGAGTTGTAAAACCTAACTAAAGAGAGTGGCATAAAAGTAATACAAAGTCATCCATCTCTACAGTATTCATTGTAACTTTATAAACAGACTTTGTCATATTCACCCTTGTCTTTTAGTGATGTAAATTGGATCTTGACTCATGAAATTGATTAAAACCTGAATTCTTAATTATGCCATCAGTTCCAAAGAATAAATTAATAACCTTGCACCTTTTCGTGCATCTGAATGGCGATAACCCTTAGTAGCAGAGTAGAGCCCAGAGTTAAAATACCCAGTATTGCCCTGGCTGGTTTGGCTCAGCGATTAAAGCTTCGGCAGCAGACTAAAGGGTCTCAGGTTGCATGTTTGGTCTTCGCCCCGGTTCCGGTTGGGTCATGCAGGAAGCAACAAATCGATGTGTCTTTCTCACACCGATGTTTCACTTTCTCTCCCTTCCTTACATTCTATCTAAAAATCAATGGAAAAATATTCTCAGTTCAGGATTAACAAAAAACAAAACAAAAATAAAATAAATATCCAATATCATCTGTTACTATTTCCAAGAACTAACTCATCTTTGCATTGTCCTCAGTCTTTTTTTTTAAGTTGTGGCTTTGTTAATTCCTAGTACTGAAGCACATAAAGTTTCAATATAAAATGTGAAAACACCATCATTTCTCATTTGCAAAATAGCTCCCTAGAAAGTCTCACTGACCTTTGTTTACCTATAGTCTCAACAGCCAGAGTGATCCTGTTAAACTTTGTCAGTTCATGTCACTTCTCAAATGGTTTCCTTTCCCAGCCTTAGTAAAATTCATAGTCCTGTTATAATCTACCAGGCCCTGAGTGTTTTGACTTTTTTTTTATCCTCACCCGAGGACACTTTTCCATCTTTTGTTCAGGCAGAGTAGGGGAGAGAGAAACACCGACGTGAAAGAGACACATCGAGTGGCTGCCGCCTGTATGACCAACCAAGGCCGGGGACAAACTGCAACGGAGGCACACGCCCCCAGCAGGAACTGAACCTGTGTCTCTCTGGACCGCAGGCCGACGCTCTAACTTCGAACCAAACCGTCCCGTCCGGGGTGGCCCTGAGTGTTTTGAGCCTCTTCTTCCTCTCTGACGTCATTACCTCCCTCTTTCTCCAGGCCACACTTCTCTGCTACTGAGGTTTTCTTTGACTACTCTGTATAAAACAGCAGGCCCTCTTCCCATGTTTCCTAACCCTTTTTAAGCATTTATCACTTTACAACATAACTGTGTAATTTACTAACTGAAGTTTATTGTATTTCTTCTTCACTCTTGCAGCGATTCTCAACCTGTGGGTCGCGACCCCTTTGGAGGTCAAACGACCCTTTCACATATTTTCAATGGTCTTAGGAACCAAGACACCGCTCCTCTATTTGTTTCCAGGCGGGTCCGCCCACATGCAGATATGTCCACATACAACATGAGAGACTGTATTAAAGGGTCGAAGCATTAGGAAGGTTGAGAACCACTGCAGTCTAATGCAAGTTCTGTGAGAATAGGGTTTGTCAGTTTTGATTACTGTTTTGATCCCAAACATCTGAACAATGCCTGACACATAGTAGGTACTCCATATATATTTAATGAATAAACACACTTTCAGCTGGAACATTTTAAAGACATTAAATAATAGTAATTATGGTTTGAAATGTTAGACTATCTATACAAGTCTCAGTTTTTGCATAATCTGCTAAGTTACTTCTATCCATGCATTATGTTCGGTGGAAGGGTCCACATTTTTAGAGGAGAGTATGATAGAGTGTGACCTGAAAACAGATTTGTCAGAATATAGAAGGAACTAAGAATGCTTAACTAAGAGTAGAGTGATATACCTATCTTACTGTTCAAAATGTTTAGAAGCCAAAGTAGACCGAATTTTGATAGTCCCAAAAGGCAAAACTAGTATTATGATGTGTATTGAAAGGGAGGAGAGGCAGTAAGAATTGATGTGGAAAAAATTAGTTAAGGCTTTTCCCTAGTAGTCCAGAATAGCTGAGAATAGCTTGAATTAGAATGAGAAATGTGGAGATGGACAACAGTGAATAGGACTTGTGATCAATAGGTCTCAGTTGATGGACTGAAGTGAGGAAGAAACAAATTTTAAAGATGACTTCTGAGTTATACAACTGGATTGATGGTTGTACCAAACAAGAACTATGATTCTTTCAATTCTGACATTGGGTTTGACCATACCTTTGGAATTTTCAGGGTGAAATAATTGTAGGCAATTAGACATATGGTTCTAAAATTCAAAAAAGAAGTGTGTTATGGAAATAAAAAATTGCAGTCACTTACATAGGTAGTTGAAAGTTTAGGTGGAATTGCTTAGGGAAGGGACTCTTAGAATCTAACTTGGAAAAAGATGCTGGAATGGAATCATAATGGCCTCATATATTTTTTTAAATTTTATTTATTGATTTTTACAGAGAGAGGAAAGGAATGGGAGAGAGAGTGATAGAAACATCAATGAGCGAGAACATCAGTTAGCCACCTCCTTCATGCCCCCAACTGGGGATTGGGCCCACAACCTGGGCATGAGCCCTGACCGGGAATTGAACTGGCCACCTCTTGGTGCATGGGTCAGCCGCTCAACCACTGAGCCACACTGGCCGGGCTAGCCTCTAATATTTAAAAAAAAAAAAAGTTTACTGGAGGATATGAGCTCCCAAAGAATATGGTGAAAGAGAAGTAGGAGATGAGAGTGATATTACAGAAACCAAAGGATAGAGTATAGGCATATTTCATTTTATTGTGCTTTGCTCTATCACACTTCACAGTTTCTTATAAATTGAAGGAAACTCCCTGGCTGGTTTTGCTCAGTGGTTAGAGCGTTGGCCCGTGGACCAGAGAGTCCTGGGTTTGGTTCCCGCTAAGGGCATGTACCTCAGTTGCAGTTTGTTCCTGGCCGGTCGTGTAGGTGGCAACCACTCGATGTGTCTCTCTCACATCGATGTTTCTCTGTCTCTCTTTCTCCCTCTCTCCCTCCCATTCTATCTGAGGATAAAAAAAATAATAATAATTGAGGGAAAGACCCTCCACCAGCAGAAAGATTACGACTTGCTTTAT